GTGTTAGCAAATCAAGAAAGATTGTAAAAAGAATTCAAAAATAAAAATAAAGGATGTTTCCAAATCAATATAGTCACACAAGCATAAAAACAGGGGAAAAAACTTGACTATATAGCGAATTAGTTAAAAAAATATATGTTTAACAATTACGAATTTTGTATGAGATGTACATGTACTTGACATAATATGGTATAAAATCTTTTAATTTAGCTAATGTGCATTATCTATATCTTCACAAAAGGTAAAAATCATTGCCAAACTTTTAACAATTAACCAAAATATATAGAAATAATATTTTCTATATTCTAAAATTTAAATACTTTTTACATTGACTATATATAACCTTTTTTGTTTACCAAAGATTTTCAAACTAAATTTATACATATATTTTAATATCTCTTTAGCCCATGTTTTACGTCTAGTTCCAACAATTCAAAACTTTAAATACATATTTTACCATTTTTAATTTAGAAAAAAAAAAACAAAATGTCTACGTTGTTACCAAGACATGTTATTTAATTTTTATTATGTATCAACGAATAAAAAATCTTATAAGAAATTAATATCACACACTATGTTTTCACATAAAGTTAAATAAGTTTAAAAAATTCAAGTTTAATTTGACAAACGGTCTTATTTATTAATTCAACTGCCAGTTACGCGCCAAATGTAAATTCAAAGTTGTTATGGACAACTATAAATGACATAAACGGAAGAATAAAAAGAGTTGGATTATAAATATAAATCTCTAGAGTCCTACAAAAGACACTATTATCTTCTCATATACAATATTTTCCTAATTCTCTTTTTCTTTCATCTGTTGTTCCGATTTTTCAAGATTCCACCTTCAATGAGTGAAAAACCTCTAATACCACATGCGGATTCTCCACATGCGAAGCAGCCTTACAAAGCTCTTCGAATGAGAGCTCGGTCACCTAAACCAATAGGAAGGAAGTGGAGGAAAACAAAAGTTACGAAAAAAACCTCTTACAAAGCTCTCCTCATCAGAGCTCAGTCACCTGAAACTTTTCAGGAGAATTCAACAGACAGTGAAGCAACCAGTTCAAAAGATTTAGAAGTGAAGCCGAGGAAAAACAGTTCTGCGAAGGGGAAAAGTATATCAAACAAGAAAAACTCTTCCAAAAAGACCATGTCACGGGAACTAGATGTTACCCAGACAGCTCGAGAGTCACACAACAACAGAGGATCAAAGAAGAACAATTCTGATGAAGATATTATGTCAAACGAATCAGAAGCGGAGTTTTCGAAGGAAGAAGCATGAGTAATATGAAATAGAAAAATGACTATCCAAAATTTATTTTTAATAATATTTTAATGGAA